TGGTATTCAGCTTTGTTCGGGTATTTTCCTATGTCATTGTAGTTGTGCTTTTAAAGTTGTAGCAACGTTTTGGCAGAATCTCATCTGCCATCATCAGGCTTCAATATATATGTTTTCTTTAGTTTTCGCGGGTACTTACATGTATGGTATTCAGCTTTGTTCATGAGACGAACACAATACAGAAGCCTGATGATGGCAGATGAGATTCTGCCAAAACGTTGCTACAACTTTAAAAGCACAGCTATAATGATGTGGGAAAATACCCGAACAAAGCTGAATACTACACACACACACACACACACACACACACACACACACACATATGCATATACATATACATATTCATTAATAATTGTCAAGAATTAAAACCAGGAAAAACAGTGAAATTATTATTAGTTTCCAAGTTTTATTCAATTGACCATATTATGAGAAGCCTCAAAAATTCTCAGTTTATCCACCAGTACCCTAAACCTGATCAGAGCCAAGAACTAATGAAAAAGAGGTTCATCTCCTTCTCCATTCCATTCCTTGCCTATCTTTTGCTATTATACATCTAATATCTACATCGTATCTTCTCTCTATTCTGCCTTGTACATTTTATTTTTAATTTTAACATTTATTCTCCCTTTCTAGCCAAATACATATATTCAACATAGCACTGTTCATAACCATTTGTTTCCATTGAATGTATCTCCGTCTCCTTTCAGACTGCTGCACAAAGCAATCATGAAATACTTACAGATCTCCCACTCACGCTTGCTGTCTTCCAGTAGACTTAGCCAAAGTTTTCTAATTCCCTCTAAAGAAAAGTATAATTTAATACTCACTTGTTTATTTTTTGTCTTGGTGATGGTATCCGAAATAGGTTTCTTCCTCTCTTTAACAGCTGTTTTAGAAAACAGTTCTTCAAATTCATGATAATCTATTGAAGGCTCTTCAATTTTTTCCCACACAAGTGAAGCACTAGAATCTCTAAAGTTAAGCAAAAGACCTATGTAGGACAACATCAGACTAAATAGTCACAAAATGGTGGGATGAAGATAGATGAATTATCAGTTTCATTGCTAAATTCATTTTTCCAATTGAAAATGAACTACAAAAATATCAAAACTTTCTGATTCATAAAAGAAATATGTTGCCAATTTTTTGCACAACATATAGTTAGTACTTTTCAGTGGGATCTATATTTATACTAAATATAGACATGCAGTATTATCAGATTAATACTGAAGGCTGCTTACCATGATTATTACAATAGTTGAGAAAAATAATATGTGGAATAGTAAGCCAAAAATATAATTAAGGAGAAGAACAAAAAGAAAACATTTTCAGAAAATATAGCATGAACTTTACATAATGCATTGTCTGATAATGATAACTATTATGATTTTCTATAATTTTCAACAAGCATCATCAACTAGTGCATAGCTCACAGGTTATTTCTGAAAGAAATTCATATTGAGTAAGCATAATTTTTTTTCTCCCAATTTCTTGAGATTTTCCTAGCACTGTTATACCTTTATCCTTTTCACAGCCATTCAGCCTCATCTTCGGACCTTTTCTCTGTATACTTTTTATTGATAAGCCTAGAACTTATTTTTAACGTGAAAGTAAAGAACATGTATAAGTTAAGAACTGGGTGATTTGTCTGAAAATATGCTTGGTTCTCTACTTTGCACAAGATATATTGATTTGAGGGTACAAATTCCACTTAGATAACGGATGGGAGATTTACATTTCAGAAATGCCAAAAACCAACAAGACACTCTAAGAAATAGAAGGTACGAGGTTCTATCATGTATGGCCCTCATCTGATACCTCCTTTCTCAAGTAGCTCACTGAAGTTGCTCTCCATCCCTATAGAACAAGTCTTTGAAATTTTATTACTCAAAAGTCTAACACAGAAAAAGCTTTTTCTGCAAAATGACACAATGATGCAAGGTTTGATATTACAAAGGCCTATTATAAAGTTTTCAATATGCAAAGTTTGGCATTATGAAGACCCATAACACAGATTTCTTCCTTAAGCTTTAAAGAGCTTATAAAATAGTAATAATCTTCTGAGCATGTGTAAATCACCCTTTCCTTAAAACCACTTGGTCTTCTTCATGAGGAGAGTGAAATTCAAAAGCAGATCAACTTATTCAATATCTGTCATTTCTTATTTTAAGGTAAAAGCACTGCCTCCTAAACTGAGCACCATTCTAAAACATATAAACAGAACATATCCTTGTTCACTCATACTATCTTCTAGCAAATCCAAAAAATTTCTGGTTCTCTACTGTGTGCATAAATTATTCTCCCCATTATCAGTTTTCAAACTTGCTACCAGAGGGAACTTTTGGATATTTTCAGACAAATGATGGTAATAAGGGTTTTTTGGGGAGTGGGGGGTGGGAGGAGTGGTCCAGATTGTTCATGGAACAAGTCTGTTATTGATTCATTTCCAACCACCATTTGGACATGTATTTGGGTCTGTGAAAATTTAGCAATGAGGAAAAAAAGAGCAAAAAGAGGTAAGAAAAAAAAATAACAAAGGAATCTAGTACAGAGGCGTGATGGGTATGAACTGGTCATTGAGAAAAGCCAATATGCATGGGGGGTGGGAATCCAAATATACCCATGTTATTACATATGATTAAGAAAGGATAGTAATACACATTGCTGCATTGGAAAGATAAATATATCCTGCCAAAAACTATGTGGTAAGGCTATACCACATGGTAGTATTTACCTTTAAAAATATTTAGGGTAATATTTCTTCCTAACATTGTTTCACAAAGGCTTAAAAACCAATACAGTGAAAAAGCACTTTAAGCTACAGTTCTGAATTTATAGCGCTACAGAAAGAACAATGTACAGACAAATGGCTTACTGTATTTACAGTTCTAGAGAAATTGATATTATATTTCAAAAGCTTCAGACCAACGTTTTTAACATATTGTTTACCTTTTATTATGAAGCTGGATTCTTGTCCAATAAAGAGGCTTCATGGGTCGAGAAGGTTCTATTGCATGCTTCCTGCTACTTTTTTCCTGATTAATTCCCATTACAAATAAACCGGTTGGCAAAGGAGGAGGAAGAAACCCAGACACTTGTGGTAGACTAGGAGCTGGGGGTGGTGGCGTGCCCATTCCAGGCAAAGCGGGAGCTCCTGCCCCAGGCAAAGGGGGTGGAGGAGGCAGCACTGTTGGTCCTTGCAGAGGGGGAGGAAGAGGAAGTCCCCCCATACCTGGCCAAGGGGGGGGTGGAGGCGGGGGTGGCACTCCCATACCTGGCAAAGGTGGAGGAGGTGGAGGAGGAGGAGGCACTCCCATGCCTGGCAATGGAGGTGGGGGCGGAGGGGGTGGCACTCCCATGCTTGGCAATGGAGGTGGGGGCGGAGGGGGTGGCACTCCCATGCCTGGCA